CCGACAAGGATTTCCATCAGCGTCGTCACTCACAATCGAAATTGTCACAACGCCACTGCTCCCTGCCACATCGTCACTGGGATTGTCCTCCGCCGTCATCACACAACCTGCAATCAGGAAACAACGAACCCCATGGTAGCCATTGACGCCGCCCAAGCACCTCTGCAAAACCGCGTTTCTTGCGGTTCAGATCCAGCGCGCCTTCGAAGCAGAGAGAACCCCCAAATCAGGTTTGTCCATCAACTTTCGTCGTGCCAAAGGCGGTGTTGTCACTGGAGCACCGTGAGTTTGTCTCATTCGCCTCCATCCTCACATCTCAAACCATGCGAAGCAAAAACCAGAACAACGACCGCGACACCACGTAAAACTAGTTCACGCCGCTGTCAATTTGCTCCCATAAGCAAACCAAAATCGCGAATTCGAATTGCGAAGCAATCTGCTAGAAAGCCACCATCATCGTCAAAACCGAGGGCTAATGAAACACCCCCTCCGTGGTTGCTTAACCAAGAAAGGCGATAGACTCGTCGGCCAAATCACTAAGTGTCGTCAATCTGCTCCCATAATCTTCAAAGTTTGCTTCAAGTTTGATTGATTTATTAGATAAACAAAAACTAAATAATTACCTTCTTCATCAAACATGCAATCACACGTGCCAAGAGTTAGGAAGGCAAGATGTGAACACACGTGGCCAAACGTTAGCCACATCAACTGATTTTTAGGAAGAAGACTAAAATGTACCTTATTTTAAAAGAGAGTTTAAAAACAAATTCGCTTCATAAAAATATATTTAACCCTATTTTGAAAATATGATAAAAGAAAATTTATTTTCTATTTAATACTTTATTAAATTAATATATTTTTGTCATCATATATAATACTATGAAATAATTATAAGATTATTAAATATGATACGAGATTAACATGTGTTTTTTTAACTTTTTTATTATCATCTCTAACATTTTTTTATAAGCAAATAATTATATTAAATAGAGCATTTGAGATCTTCAATCCATATATATATATATATATATATATATATATATATATATATATAGATACTATATATATATATATATATATATATAAAAAGAGAATAGTGAAATGTTTTGAATCTAAACATTTAAAGTCTCCAATTTTACATTTGGACAACCTCCACAACAACATTGAATGTTAAAATAACTTTTTATTAAGCCTACGATTATAAATAAAGTCAAAAACTATTTTTATTATGAAAAAAAAACATATAAACGAGACAGATGACATAAGAGAGATCAAAAGAATAGGTAGTAAAAAAAACCATGAATAAACCGGAGGAAATAAAAAATCTCCTTCATGTTATAGCCATATAAAGATAATTTAATCTCATACATGTTGCTTGTTGAATCCAGGTAAGCAAATATTTGGACCATAGGTTTCATCGAAATTTGATCCAACTAATTAACACTTCCTAACAAAAAAGCCAGCAATGGTGAAATCCAATCTTTTATAATTAACTGATGTTTAAATGAGAATACAGGACTTAAAAAATATCAAACTCTTGGTTGATTTATCATTTGGGAATATTAGATAAAGAACAAACACCAAGTTAAGAGAAGACAAAAAAGTAAAAGAAAAGTTGTACTTTCATTTAAAGTATGGGGGCCGACGGAACTAACATTGGGATGCAACCTATGCGGTTCAATCTTCACATCAAGAGTCAATTTTTGGTAGTTGATCTCCTTCCAATGGACTAATTCTTTTTTTTTCTGTATCTATAAACCCTGTTTTTTTAAGAACTGCAACCTATTCTGCACAAATTTACATACCAGGAAATCAAACGACAAGAAAATTAAAACAATTAACGAATTGAAGGGCATTAAACAAATACCAAGAACAAAATCCTGCACAAGTGCGAAAACCCTGGAACCACTAAATCATACTGACTGATATTAGCTTCTATGGATATTTACACCGGTTAGGGCAAGTTCATAAACCATTTAATAATCCAAAACCGTACTTGATAGCAAAAATTGATGAAAAGATATTAAAAACGAAAATTCCAAGATCTATGTATGCCAAACCTGGATAGCCCAAAACACCACACGATAAATTGAGCAAAATAATAGACAAAAGGCTTTACATGTATAGCATGGAACACAAGATAATGATAAAATATTGTCAATCAAGTGATGTGCCACAAAAGACACAATTAATGGATTGATAAACCTTACTTGGAATCAGTTAAGGCGGCCATGTAGGCTTACCATCTTTGGGAAAACCTTCGATGCCCTATCAATTCCACTAGCAAGAATTAGGCAGCTATTAGAATATGAAACCAAAGGGTTGACATTAAGAGTTCCACAGATTGAAAATTCTAAACATCACATTCACACACCCAAATGTCACACGATATCCAATACACATATATTGTCAAAAGTTTTGGGTGCTAAAGTGAGGAAATAAGGTCAATCAATAGAAGTATATAAGGCAATCCAAGAGCTCTTATGAAATTTAGTTATAGGTTTTTAGTGCTAAAAGAGAAATTTATTTTATTTACAAATTCACTACCAACTTCAATAAAAAGAAAAACTATGTGCTTTAGATATTGGAGAATCAGTTTGAACTCAGTTTGAAAAAACAAAATAAAACTTAGTCCTAGGTTTTGATTTATTTTTTAAATAGATATTAGAAGTCCAAATAAGAACAAATATTCTTATCTACCATCATAAATTTTGGGATAAGTACAGTAATATCTTTAGAAGAGTAAGATAGAGCACCACCTTCCTTAAAATAAAAGCAATGAAATGTTTAGTCTAAAAGATAATCATGTCTTAAAGAAGCTGAGTTTCGTAGTTTAAAATCTTAGGAAAAATCATTCTTTCAAGGATTTATTGGAAAAAGCTTGCTTATGCGCCATTAGGATATGGAAGAAAGAAAACATTCCTAGACAATGGACCACATTACAGGACTACTTGAAACATACCTCTCAATGATTGTAACTTCTGCTCAAGCTGAGAGGCCCTCCCCTTGGTTCATCTAGAGGCATTGAGTAAACCCAACTTCCAATTTCACTATCTTGAAGTCGCTTCCGTATCTCCTTATTCACCTGGAGTATATTATTTTTATTCCAAAAAAAACGTAAAGGTGATTGATAATCAACAAACTTAATTGTCCTAAATTCGTTAGTCTCCAACAATAACAATTAAGCAAATACTACACATATAAAGATCATCACAGAAGATAGATTCCATATGATTAGTGGTTAAAATGGTAGAGATGGGGGGAAGGTGAAACAAAGGAAGGGAAGTAGTAGGAGAGTAGAGAAAGTCAGAAGAAAAAACGGTAAGGAGGAAAGAAAAAATAAATGAATATTCATAAATGATAATCTGATAACAAGTTCTCACCTTCGTTCAGCACAGTGCTTATATAAGCAATTTCATTCTTGACAAAATGGGTTTCGAAAATGTCATTGATTTGAAAGCCTTGCAAGATTTAATAAAGCGTCATCTTAAAACGATCAATAAAAAAGGACGGAAATAGACAAACATCTAATATTAAAAACAATTATCTCGTTAACATACTGCACTGTTTACTGAACCTTGGTGAAGTTAGTCCTTTAACTTCTACAATCTGGGGCCATACCAAAAAAGTGTAACCCACTTTTTTACAAGGTCCGGGAAAAAATCAAGTGACTCACGTTCCTACATAAACACTTAATCCTAATTACAAAACAACGAAGCAAAATAAACTGATTTAATGCATGTTCATTGCATCACTTAGAACTATCAAATGAAAATAAAAAACGTAGATTCTAAGGGTATTTTCTTAAAAGTAAATTCTTCGATTACAAGTTCAATTCCAGAATATAATATGTTACTCGAATTAAACTACAAAAAAAACCAAGTATATAAATAAAAATTACTCTTACTTTCTTTTGCGCCATAATTTCCTTCATTTTTTAATACACATTAATTATCAGGATTTTAGGACGTGTCTTCTTCTCTATACAAACTGTATTTAAAATTAAGACAGGAGGAATTCACTACATTTATTCACTTAAAGGAAATGTTTATATATACATACTATACCGCAACAAGGAAGAGGAAAAACAGAAAATTTTAAACTACAAAACTATATAAAAAACAAACTAACAACCCAAAAATAATACCAAAGATGCCGAATTGTGTACCTTGAATAAATTGTTCCCTAATTTTATGCAAAAAAAGGAATTAAGGGAAAGAACAGTTGCACCTGGTTACTGAAAACGATACTTACAGAGAAATAGATTCCTCAGAAGTCCATCACACAAATCAACACCTTGGAGGACATGGGAGGCTATTTCCGGTGGTACTAAAGGCGTGGAGGGACCGGTCTTAACATCACCAAACAAAATTGTGTCATCATCGTTGGCTGCGAATCGACTGAAACCCACACAAAGGTTATTAAGCATTCGTATCTCCAACATTGAACCTTTTCAGTATGTTAAGGTATGGACCCTAAAGCAAAAACAATTTTTTTAAATGCCAGAAAGACAACATAGTCAGTATACAGGAGATGACCCCGTAACATCCATGGTGTTTCTGGTTTTTTCTGTTCTTTTTCTTTTTTATAGAAGCTCACCAATTATACGACTGCAGAGAAAAAAAAAAAAAACAAGGATTACCAAATGAAAGATAGTTGGTATTGCGATTGGTTGGCTAAGTTGGTGATCGGTTGGAGTAAGGCTGTACAAGGGAAACGGTGTTTTTTTGATGGGGTATAAAAAATTGCAAATGCAGGAGGGGTTTACGTAGAGCCTTCACGGTTATTGTATTTCAGACGTGGGTCTGATTTTTTGAATTAAATTAACCATTTAAGGGAAGTGAAAGGAGGAGGAATAGGAATTAA